TCAAGTGCACACCTATTTTAAGTTTTATGTCTTCCTGGTAAAGTCAAACTTTTATTATTAAGAATAACCTTCTTTGTGTTTTAGAAATGTTTCTACCTTCCTTTAAAAAAAAAAGGTCTAGTTTTCTTGGCAATAATTAGACTACTTTCTTCTGGTTTAGAGTTTGCACGGTATATTTGTGTCTGTGCTTCAACTTACAGCCTTTATGTGTCTTTTGCAAGTCACGTACAGTCAGATTCAGGTCCTTACCCAGCTCTGGCAATCCAGTCTTTTAAGTTTTATCCAAGGCAATTAACCTATCCATTCCAATGTAAATACAGATGTATTTGGACATCTATCATTATCTTGATCTACCACCCGCCTTTCTTTCTCCTTTTCTCTTTCCTCCCTTCCCTTTCCCCCACCCCATTACCAATTTAGAAACTAAATATCCTGCTTTAATTCTCTGAGTAGTTAATTTATAAATTACAGCATCAATAGTTAGCTTAATCAAAATCAAAGCTTGGCAAAATTGTGTACTTTCTCCCAGGAAAACATTTTATAACAATTATACAATATAACAATTAATATAAACAATTATCTGTTTCCAATTTAACGATCATATCGAACATTTTAATTTTATATCCTTTTATAAATTGGAGGCTATACTCAGTGATAGAGTTCTTTTATAACATGCACAAGGACCTGGACTCTACCCCAAGCTCCTTAAAAGTATATGCCAGTAAGTAGAGAATTGGAAACCTCAGTAGCTAAATCCAGTGAAGTTCTGTTCCTCACCAATATTAACAGTCAATGCAAGTCACATGGCTTTGGCTGGGCTACTGCAGAAGGGACCTTGCTGCACCAGGAGATGGCCTTCCAGCCTTCAGAGTGTGCCTCCCACTTATGGAAAAGTGGGCAGTAGGACTCTCTAAGTCTGGAAGCTCACAGTCTTTTCCACTCGGAGCTCCTGGCTTACTATGCAGTATTATTCTGTCATACATAACTGGCTGTGGGTCTGCGTCAAGGCACACGCTCCAAGCTCTTTCTCTGTCCTGATTCTCAATTCTTTCCTTTCCTGCCCAGGGCCTTTCTACCTCAAGAGTAATACTGCTGAGTCATCACTAGTGTGCTCTTGACTGAAGTGTTTCTTTTCCTTAGAAAATAGAACTCACTTTCACTTCCCAGAGAGGTGATCTCATTGCTTCATGCTGGTTATTAGAAGCAGCGTGCTTTCCCAAATCTTCAAGGAACTAAACTTCTGGATTGTATTCTCTTTCATTTCTTATAAATTAGTGAGATATTTCTGAAGCATGTGCCTGTCAATCAGAAACTGATACTCAAATACAAAATGTTTCCTTTTGGTTTGGATTTTGAGACAGGGTCTTCTGTAGGGCAGGTTTCCAGCTTGTTCGACAGTTGAAAATGACTCAGAACTTCTGATCCTCTGTCCTCCACCACCCAAGGGCTAGGATTATGGGTATGTTCTCCCACACCTGGTTTATGAAATACCAGGGAATCAAGCCTAGTGTTTTGAGATTGCTAAGCAAGTAAAAGAAATAAAGAGAGAAAAAGAGAGAAATGGAAGAGAGGGGAAAGAAAGAGCTGTGAAGAGAGAGAGCAAGAAGAAATATGAAAATAGAGAGAAATGTGGAGAATAGAGAGGGGAGGACAGAAAGGACGTTTAAGAAGAGAGAGATTGGCTTCTAGTCAGTTCTAATCGAATAAATACCACTGCTGCTCTCAAGCCTGTTTCCCTCAGGGTGAAGTGTTTATATTAATTCTGAGATTGATTAATTAAAGAAGTGGTATAGTAACAATAGATGAATATTCAACACCTACCAAAATAATTGCTTGTAAATGATTGTAGGAGTCTGTGAAGAGCTTCTTTGCTCATAATGCTAAGCCAGACAAAGGCTGTGGGGGATAAAGAGCTGAGCGACAAGGTAACGGCTGTGACGAGTGTGGACACAGGGCGCTGCTGGTCTCCTCTGCTCACTCAGGCATCAGTAGGAGCCAGCAGGCTGTGGCCCTTCAGCTCAGCAGTGGACAGACTCCCTAATGTGTGCTGACTGACAGGCTGACCTAACGTATGCTGACTGGCTGGCTGAGAATCGGGAACACAAGTGGGAAGGCCCCGGTTGTTGTTTATTTTGTCTTTTATAAAGACAAAAAGTAATAAATGATGACTCCTTTCACGTCCTAGATTGAGGAGTACATGTGGTTTGCTTCTAACTTTACAGGAGATTAATGGTGGCAACCACCAGTCTCCACCAGTCTCACTAAGGAGATCCTAATGGTAACGTCTAACCCTCCCACCTCACCTATGGAAACCACAGGTTTTCTTAGTGAAGTCCAATAGGGCAAGTGTAATTCCCTAACACAGATAGATAGAACATAGATAGATAGATAGATAGATAGATAGATAGATAGATAGATAGATAGATAGACTGATTGATTATAGATAGACAATTGATAGACAGATATATAGATATAGAGGTATGCATGTGTGTGCACCTGTGTCTGTGTGCTCATGTACATATCAGATGCACTACCCTTGAAGCCCAGAAGAGGGCATCAGATTCCCGGAGCTGGAGTTTCAGGCAGTATGAGCCATCCATCATGGGTGCTGGAAGCCAAACCCTGGTCTCTCACAAAGCAGTCTGCTCTCTTTCCTGCTGAGCCATCTCTCCAGCCTGCCATTTGCTCTTTTGACGACAGTCATTCTGACTAGGGTAGGCTACCTGATACTTTGCTCAGGTTCTGATAAGCATATCCCTGTGTCCCTCACTGTCCCCAAGGCTCTGCAGTGCGGTGGGTGACTGCTATGCAGGGTCAGGACCCTATCCCTCCTTCCCACTTCCATCTGTTCAAAGCTTACCGAGGATAAAGGCTTCTGTTTAGAGAAGTCTGCATCCCCTGACACCTTCCACAAGGGGCTCTGTGGAAAGTCTGTGGTTCCGTCTTCTCCTAGGTTTGCCAGCTGCTTCTGTCCAGTTCAAGACTGGTCCTTAAATCTCTTTCTCTGCTTTGAAGAGAGTGCTTTTCAGATCAGGCTTGAGATGAGCATGGCTCTGCCTCACACAGACAAGCTGACAGACACAGTATGGGCATTGCACCTGCTGTCTCGGGGTTTGTCCCTGCTTTGTGGATGATAGAACGGTTGCCATGCTTCCTGTTCAGCTCCAGGTCCCAACACCTAGCCCTGTCTCCTAGCAGGTGTCCCATCCACACACATTGACTGGCTTGCTGACACTGGAGCCTGCATATTGCTTACTGGAGAACTAGAGGATCACACAAATGTATTTTCAAAAGTGTAAGCCTCTTTGTGCATGGTACTTCACCTTGTAGACCTCAACCTACTTGCATTTACACTTAAGTCTCTCTCTCTCTCTCTCTCTCTGTGTGTGTGTGTGTGTGTGTGTGTGTGTGTGTGTGCACACTCACGTCTGTGTGCTCATGTGGGGGCAACTATAAATGTGTGTGCTCCTGAAGGCAGAGGCCAGAGGTCAACATCACATGTCTTCCTCAATCACTATCCACACATCAGCTTTTCCCCCATTTTATTGAAAATATGTCTTATTCTCACATACTATATCCTGGTTAGATTGTTCCCTTCTCTCCCAGTTCCTTCCCACTTTCCCTCCCATCCAGATGCACTCCCTTTCTGTCTCTCAATAATAAAACAGAGGAAAATGAAACATAAGAAGATGAATCAAAACTATCGCATTGGAGTCGGACAAGACAAACAAGAAAAGAGCCCAAGAGAAGGCACAAGAATCAAAGAACCACTCGTTCACACTCTCAGGAAATCCCATAAGCACACTAACCTGAGGCCATGGTATATACACATAGGACCTGGTGCAGAGCTGTGCAGGCCCTGTGCAAGCCGCCTCAGGCTCTGTGAGGTCATATGAAGCTTGCCTAGCCGATGGCCTTGTTCTCCCTGTGTCCTCCGTTCCCTCTGGCTTTTACTCTTTCTGCCTCCTCTTGCACGGGGTTCCCTGAGCCCAGATGGGAGGGATTTGATAGTGGCTGAGTGTTCCAAGGTCTGTCACCCTGTATATTGTCTCTCTGTGGGTCTCTGTATTTGTTCTCATCTGCTGTGGGAGGAAGCTTCTCTGACGTCTGAGCAAGGACTGATCCAGGAGCATGGTGGGTCCGCATTACTGTTTGATCCAGCTGAACCTGGAGTGCAACGAGTCACCTAGGCTGGCTGGCCAGCAAACCCCAGGGACCCTGCTGCCTCACCAGGACTGGGATTATAAGTGTTCACCACCGCAGCCAGTTTTTATATGGATGTGGAGATCCACCTCAGTCCCTCATGCTTCTACGGCAAGCACTTTACCATCTAAGCCGTGACCCCATCCCTACAAAGAAAAGCTTAAGTCTTCATCCTATCTCAGTTGCTAACTATCAACTACACAAGAGAAGGGGTCCACTACCTTCCTCCACATACCCCAGACTAGTTAGGTACCGAGCCAGGCATGACTGGACTTCAGTAAGGTCCCATTGTACATTCTGGATCTATGGAATCATACTTGATGTTTCAAGGTTTCAAGAATAGATGCTGTCAACTGTCCCAAGATACATAATGCCCTAAAAAAAGAAAACAAAGTTAACCACTGTGTGTCTGTTGTGGGAGACTGTGCCCTAAGCAAAGGAAGCTATCCCCTCATCAGGTCAAGAGTGAGGCTATTCTTATTATGAGTCCCAGTTACAGCTAAACTCACACCAGAGGGCAGCCCTGTGTCTAGGAAGGAGCTGGTCTATGGCTATGAAACAGATGACAGGCTAGCCTCCCTAGTATAAGGTCCCTGGATCTGCCAGTTGGTGGAGTACATTTCAACTTAGGGACCACTGGAAGGTGATCATAGCTCTGGGTGATTTGTAAAAAGAAAAGTCTTTGAAAACAGCCTCTTGGTGCTTGTCCCACAAGCTTGGATTCTAATCAAGACTTCAGTTATAATAGATCGTGAGAAGAGTAACCAGGACCTGAGACAGTGTCTGTTTTTCTATAGCTTCGGGTCTTCAAGCTAGCCAAGTCCTGGCCCACCCTGAACATACTCATCAAGATCATTGGCAATTCCGTGGGGGCCCTGGGCAACCTGACCTTCATCCTGGCCATCATCGTCTTTATCTTCGCCCTTGTTGGAAAGCAGCTTCTCTCGGAGAGCTATGGGTGCCAAAAGGATGGCACCTCCGTGTGGAATGGTGAGAGGCTCCGCTGGCACATGTGTGACTTCTTCCATTCCTTCCTCATCGTCTTCCGGATCCTCTGTGGGGAGTGGATCGAGAACATGTGGGTCTGCATGGAGGTCGGCCAGAAGTACATCTGCCTCATCCTCTTCTTGACTGTGATGGTGCTGGGTAACCTGGTGGTGAGTAGTGACCCCTCAGAGGTGAATTGTAGCCTGGGGAGGCAGCCCAGTCAGTGAAGTGTCCGCTATCTGAGCATGAAGCTCTTGAGTTCAATCCCCCAAAAACATGTTTAAAAAAAAAGGCCGAGCATGGTGGCACCTTCTTGTAACCCTGTGTGGGAGAGGCAGAGACAGCCGGATCCCTGAGACCTGCTGACCACCCAGCCTCTGTTTAGTGAGTTCCAAGCTAACATGAGGCCCTGTCTCGAAAACAAGCTGGACTGCTACTGAGGAATACCAGCAGGGGTTGTCCTCAGACATCCACAGGCACACACTCACACATGCAAGCACATGCTCACACATGCAGGCACACACTCACAGACACAGGCACACACACACAGACACACACTCACACACACAGGCACACACTCACACACACAGGCACACACTCACACATACAGGCACATAGTCACACACATAGGCACACACTCACACATATAGGCACACTCTCACACATACAGGCTCACACTCACACACACAGGCACACACTCACACATACAGGCACATTCTCACACATACAGACACACACTCACACATACAGACACACACTCGCACATATAGACACACTCTCACACATACAGACACACTCTCACACATACAGACACACATTAACACATACAGGCACACAGTCACACATACAGATACACACTCACACATACAGGCAACACACATACAGGCACACACTCACACATACAGGCACACACACATACAGGCACACACACATACAGGCAC